ATCCTGGGATCCAGCCCCACATCGGGCTCTCTGCTCAGCAGGGAGCCTGCTTCCCCCTCTCTCTCTCTCTCTGCCTGCCTCTCTGACTAATTGTGATCTCTGTCTCTGTGTCAAATAAATAAATAAAATCTTTAAAAAAAAAAAAAAGAAAGAAAGAAAGAAATTGGAACCCTCAAGCATTGCTGGTGGAAACAAAATGGCGCACCCACATTGGAAAACAATGTCTTAGTCCATTCGGGCTACTCTAACAAAATACCACAGACTGCATGGCTTATAAACAGCAGAGATGTGTTGCTCATAGTTCTGGAGGCTGGAAGTCCAAGATTTTGGTACCAGCATGGTCGGGTTCTAGGGAGGACTCTCTTCCACACTGAAGACGTTTGGAGTTTGAAGACTCCAAACTTCTGTGTCCTCGCATGGCAGAAGAGATGAGGAGCTCTCTCAGGCCTTTTTCATAAAGGCCCTAATCCCATTCCTAAGCATCTAATCACTTCCAAAAGGCCCTACCTCCCAATACAATGACCTTGGGGATTAGGGTTTCAACATAAAAATTTGGGGAGGACTCAAACCTTCAGACCAAAGAAACAGTACAGCAGTCTCTTAAAATGTTAAATACAGGGGCGCCTGGGTGGCTTAGTGGGTTAGGCCTCTGCCTTCGGCTCCAGTCATGATCTCAGGGTCCTGGGATTGAGCCCAGCATCGAGCCCCACATCAGGCTCTCTTCTCAGCAGGGAGCCTGCATCCCCCTCTCTCTCTGCCTGCCTCTCTGCCTACTTGTGATCTCTGTCTGTCAAATAAATAAATAAAACCTTTAAAAAAAAAAAAGTTAAATACAGATTTACCACGTGACCAGCAATTCCACTCCTAGGCCTCTACCCAAGAGAAAGGAAAATACGTGTCTGTACGAAAAGGAGAGTATGAATGTTCACAGCAGCATTTTTAATAATAGCCAAAAAGGATAAAAAACCCATATAGCCATCAATTGGTGAATGGATTAAATAAAAGATGGTATAGTCATACATTGGAATACGATACTATTTAATAATAAACAGGAACAAAGTATTGGATGAAAGAAACCAAACACAAAAGATCAACATATTGTCTGACTCCATTTACATGAAATCTCCAGAAAAGGCAACTTTGGAGAACAGAGAATGATCAGTGGCTGCCTAGGGACAAGAGGTGGAATGGAGAATAACCGACAAATGAATATACATCTTCTTTGGGAGATGATGGAAATGTTCCAAAATGAAATTATGGTGATTATTGCACAACTCTGTGAATATTTTAGAAATCACTGAATTGTACCCTTAAAACATACCCTTAAAAGAGGTATGTTTTATAGTACATAAGTTATACATCCAAAGCTTTTTAAAAAAATACTCAGCTTCATTAGTCGTCACTGAGATGCAAATTAACGCCACGAGGAGATGTCACTACACAGCCACTAGAATGGCTAAAATTTTAAAGACTGACAATACTAAGTATCAGTGGGGACATGGAACAACTAGAATTCTCATACACAGCTGAGGAAGATATAAAATGGTGTACTGGGTGTGACTAACATCCCCCGAGATGATATGTCCAATCTTAGCCCACGGTTGTTGTAAATGTGATCTTATTTGGAAAAAGGGTCTTTGTAGATGTAATTACACTGAGGATCCTGAGATTAAGATCATCCTGGATTTAGGGTAAGCCCTAAATATAACGACCAGTGTCTTTACTAGAGAAAGGAGAGGGAGATTTGACACACACACACACACAAAACACTGAGAAGGTGGCCGTGGGAACACAGAAGCCAACTGGTTTGCTGCCCAAACCAAGAAATACCGGAGTCACCAGAAGCTAAAAGAAGCAAAAAAGGATTCTCCCCCTAGAGCCTGCAGAGAGACCATGACCTTTGAAAACCTCGCATCCAGACTTACCTTTAGAACTAAGAGAGAAGAGGGGCACCTGGGTGGCTCAGTGGGTTAAAGCCTCTGCCTTCAGCTCAGGTCATGATCTCAGGGTCCTGGGATCGAGCCCCACATCGGGCTCTCTGCTCAGCAGGAAGCTTGCTTCTCCCTGTCTCTCTCTGCCTGCCTCTCTGCCTACTTGTGATCTCTGTCTGTCAAATAAATAAATAAAATCTTTAAAAAAAAAAAAAAAGAACTAAGAGAGAATAAATGTCTGTTGCTTTAAGACACCAAGTTCATGGGAACTTGCTCAGGCAGCCCTAGGAAAACTAATGCAAGTGGCAGAATCACTTTGGCACTTTCTTACATAGAACTGAGCAATTGGATTCCTGAGTGCTTATCCGAAAGAAACAAAGACTTATATGTGAATGGTCATAGCGGCTTTTTTACATAATCAGCCCCAAACCAGAAACAATCCAAATGTACTTCAGCAACAGGTGAATGAATTAACAATATGTGGTAAAACCATACAGTAAATCATCACTCAGCAATAAAAAGGAATGAACTACTAATACACAGGACAACATGAATGAATCTCAAAAATCTCAAAAATGCTGACTGGAAGTAGACAGACTCAACAGTACACAGAGTTTGTTTCCATTTATATGAAATCTTAGAAAATACTGACTCGTCTACAGTAACAGAAAACATTACTGATGGCTGCTTGGGAGCCAAGGTGGGGGAGACACTGACCGCAAATCAAGATGAAATTTCTAGAAGGGACTGAAAGGTTCTCTATGTCAACTATGATGGTGGTGTCACAAGTGTATACACCTGTCACAACTCGTCAACTATTGTACACTATAAATGCGTGCAAATTATTGTACATAAATTATACCTCAATAAGGTCAATTAGAAAACAAGAAAGTTCATGAATAACTGACCATTTTCCATTTAACCTTTAAAACTTAATTGCCTATACTTTATTCTAACCAGTAACATGTTCATATGCAAATTTAAATAAGTATCAAAGGAATTCTTTAAAGTAAAGAGGAAGACAACTTGCTCTACCAATTCAACATGTTTCACATGTTGAAAGTGGAAAAAAGCTTTGAGTCAGAAGACCTAGTTCTGAGTCCTAGTTCCACACAGCAACCAAGTGGCTTTGGGCAAGTCATGATTTCCTCAAGCCTTGGTTTCCACTCCATAAATGTGGATGACATGAGTCATTATCTCACAGGCAAAGGGTAAGGTTGCAGTAGAGTAAAAGCTCCTTTGCACAGGGATTCTATCTTAGTTTAAGTCATAATTCCAGTGTCTAGCAAATAATGGACGCTCAATAAATCAACAGAATGAGTAACATAAACGTAAAGCTAAAAGGTGAGAAAGACAACATACACAATGCCATTGGGTGACATTCATCTCTTTCTCAGCACTGTTGTAGACTAATTCAGAAGGATCCTCTCCTCTCTGAATCCATCTTTAATATATTGTCCATATCACAGGCAGACTCTAGCATGAAAACTTCAGGTCCCTGGTGAAACCTTGTTATAACTCGGGTCATTATAGGACAGATTTTGTATATATATTTTTTAAGATTTCATGTATTTATTTGAGAGAGAGTGAGAGCAAGCAAGGTCACAGAAGGAGAGGGAGAAGCAGACTCACAACTGAACAGAGCCCGATGCGGGGATCGATCCCAGGACCCCAACATCATGACCTGAGCTAAAGGCAGATGCTTAACCAACTGTGCCCACCCAAACACCCCCAGATTTTATATTTTAAACCCACAGAAGTACTGCCCTAAGACAAACTCACTTGTACAATTCTAAATTCTACAAGCGCAAGAACTGTGTCTGTTTTAGTTCCCATTGGTCCTTACTTCTAATATTTGCCTAATATAGAGTAGACAACACAGCAGCATGGGTAAAGGCTATGTAACCAGATAAAGCAGGAAAGAGGGCCTTTTAAGAAGGACAAAGTGGCTGATGGGTAGAGAACAGGGAGAGTGTCATGTCTCATGAGGCTGTAGGAACACGCAGGGTCCAAACCATGCAGGACATTGTATGCCATGTGAAGTCTTCTCTTTCTCCGAAGAGCAACAGAACATCATGGAAGATTTTTAAACAGGTGGTTGACAGAGGGGGGAGGAAGGAAAAGGACATAATTAGATTTGCACTTTGAAAAGATCACTCTCCATAGTGTGCAAGGGACTGGTTGTGTGGAAGAAAGAGGACAAGGGAGTTGTTAGGGTGTAGAATAAGAGTAGACCAATACAGAGACTATTGCAACATCCATTAAAGAGATAATGGAAACTTGGTCCAAGGTGGTGGAGACAGAAAAAGTGGACATGTCACAGACATGTGTAAACAAACCAACAGAACTTGATTTGGGAAGTGAGAGAAAAGAAAACACTCAATTCTTCTGAACCTTAAGTCTTCATCCGTAAAACAGGACTGTTATTACCCCATCTGCATAATATCTATCTGCTATGGTAACAACATGAAATATTATAAATTTTACCAACTTAACGTAAATCCTGAGATGTAATAAATGCTTAAAAAAAAAAAAAAAAGGAAGTCACCATAGATATTATTATTGCCACCCATGGAATTGCAACTACCAGTAGCGGAACCCCAAAGGTGGAAAACAGGATTGTAGTTAGATTCATCTCCTCTGTGCTGAAGACACAGATCACAACAGGCAGCCACTGAGACAACTGTTCCCAACAAACACATCTGATCGCACAGATACTTCATCTGAACCAATCTCAGTCCTAGAAAACCATTACTAAGAGAAAGAACAACTGTGATGATCACAGTCCGGTAAACTGAGGCATCAGGGTAGCTACAAAGACCAAGAAAAGCAGGGAAAGGAAATGGGTGTCGTGATTCTCACCGGTGAGCAGATCCAACACGACTAGGCCCGCATCCTGACCAGCATGAATGTGTATCCCCCAATGTCTCTGGTTCCCTTACTGACAAGGCCCTGTCATCCCTTGGCTTAAGACTGTGAGTCCGCTGGCCATGCAACCAAGCCCTTCCGGCTCCCGGCCCCTAGCTGCAAGGACACGAAAGATCCCAGACCGCTGAGAGGCCGACATACCTTAGCTTCGCGCTCTCGTTCCTCGGCGGTCGGGGTCCGCTTCATGCTGCCGCTACAGCCGTCTTCGCCACTGCTAGCCGCGTAGATCCCTCTCCCTTGACCCCGCCTCCTGCTTGTAGTTCTCTCGGCATCCTGCTCCCGCCCAGCGCCGTTCGCCGTCAGATCCACGAGAACTACCATTCCCAAGATGCAAGGCGGCGAAGCTCGAGAGCGCCTCGGGGTTTGGGGCACGAGAATTTCCCAGGGCCGAAATCTACGCAGCGAGCGGGCGGGTTAGAGCAGGAGCAAAACTACATTTCCCAGGAGGCAACGGAGCCTGCCATGTTTTTCCCGTGCTCCTCTCCGCCAGGCGCCCAACACGCCGTCGGCGCTATAGCAACGGTAGCTAGCCGCGGGGAGAGAGTGACGGTGAGTACTCTGGGGGAGTCGAGGGGGGCGGAGGTGGCCCACCCTCTACGTGCAGCACGGGTCGGGGTCCTGGGGTCTGCCCTATGTCCTAGAGAAGGCCTTAGAGTTCTGCTTGCGTGAAAAGCAGGCCGACACGAGACACCACATACCCAGGCCTGAATCACAGCCCGCTCATTATCCCCACGCCCAGCACCGGTTTGAAATTTTACATCCTACCCTGAAATCCTAGGTGATGAGAGTTGATCATTGCCGTGCCTATACAAGTACCTCAAGTAGAAGGGCACATAAACACAGTTCTTTCATTAGCCCTGGTTGAAGGGTTGGTTGGTAGACCCTTAAGCCTCCTGAATGGCCTATTGTTTGCTTAATTATTTATAATTATTTGTTCATCGTCTGGTTACCCCCATAGCCTATTAACTACATAAAGACGGAGTTCCTGTTTACTGTGTTAGTCTCAATGCCAGGTATTCATTTAATCATGAAGTAAATATTAATCTCGGTGCCCGCCTTGCCCCAGACACTGTTTCCTACCGCTGTGAATAGGACTGATACCCGTCCCGAGATGCTTATACCTTATTAGTGGAGACGAAGTAGAAATGAGCTAGTGAACAAATAAGAAATTTTAGGTAATGATGATTGTTACGACGGAAATAAACAGTGATGACTTTGGGAGGAAGAGTACTCTGACAGAGGGTGATCAGGGAAAGCATCTCTGAGGAAGTGACATTTGAGCTGAATCCCAAAGAATGAGGAGCCAGCTGATGCAAAGGCTTTGAGCAAGACGAGGGTACCAGGGCTTTGAGGAACCTAAAGGAATGTTGAGTGAGCATGGTGAGCAAGGAGGGATAACATTAGTTGATGTCGAAGATACGTAACAGCATTGCACAGGGTTTGTTTATCTCGGCGCTCTTAACATTTGGGGCCACATAATTCTTTGTTGTGGTTCCTGTGCACTGCAGGACATTTAACATCGTCTCTGGCCTCTAGATGCCAGTAACACTGCCTTCCACCTTCCCAGTCAAGACAATCAAAAATATGACCAGACAACCCCTACTTAAATGTGTGACCTTGGACAAGTTACCAAAGCTGCCTCTTGGTTTTTTTGTTTTTGTTTCTTTTTTTTCATTTGTAAAGTAGGAATCATTTGAGTAACAACCTCATAGGGATATTGTGAGATACTTGATTAATGCACATTAACGGAGCACTTAGAAGAGACCCTGGCACATTTTAGTAAGCATTCAGTAAATGTTAATCCCACTACCATTATTATGAAAGCTACTGTAACTCTATCATGGCGGAGTTACCATTTTCACAAGTGTCCTGTGTTTAAACTGCTTGATGCTTTGGTTCCCAAAACTGATCGTTCCTGTAGCAGTGTTGCCAAAAGAAGTAGGAGGTGATCTCTCAAGTATATGTCTGTTCGTTGTTTAATGCCACAACTGAATGCAGTGGTTCTCCAGCTTTGACGAGTTATAATAAAGGTTAGGAGCCCTTTTCCTAAAGATATTGCATATACACGTAGACGCATACAAGATGTTATAAACCATCTCTTGGGTCTACAGACCCTCAAGCTCCATGGATTCCATTCATTCAGCAACTATTTAGCGAATGCCTGCTATGTGCCAAGCTCTGTGTTGGCCTCTGAGAATACCATACAGAGGTGCAGAAGGCAAATAAGCTGGGTATTCTCTTGGACTTTACGTTCTAGGCCCAACATTCTAGAGATTGAGAAGCTCTGCCTTAGGGCACCTTCACTTTGTTTGCATTTGGCTCTTGGGGTGGTTTGAAATAAAATATAAAGTCTTTTTTTTCCCATATCCTAGACATGCACAGACCATTTATATCCGCGTCCAAAACTTGAGTTACTGTGGTGCATCTCTGAAGAATAGAAACTGTAAAGATGCCAGAATTAACTGGACAGATTGTATGTTGAGGTAGGAAGCCCTGGGACTAGGCCTCATGGCAACAAAGAAAGGACAGAACAAAAACAAATTCAACTGGTCAATTTATGAAACATCTTTCACAAAACTGGGGCCTACCCACTCATTTGTACACCAAGTTAAAAATTAATATTCAAGTAATACTGACATCCCAGGCAAATGGGCTAACTGCTCTTGATTTACCCTCTCACTCTTAGAATAACTCTATAAGATACCTCTTCTCCATTTTTTTAAAGTTAAGGAACTGTGGCAACTGGCTGGCTCAGTTTTCAGTAAAGCACGTGACTTTTGATCTCGGGGCCACGAGTTTGTGTTGGGGGTAGAGTTTACTTTAAAAAAAAATATATAGGGGCGCCTGGGTGGCTCAGTGGGTTAAGCCTCTGCCTTCAGCTCAGGTCATGATCTTGGGGTCCTGAGATCGAGCCCCTCAACAGCTCCCTGCTCAGTGGGGAGCCTGCTTCCCCCTCTCTCTCTCTGCCTGGCTCTCTGCCTACTTGTGATCTCTGTCTGTCAAATAAATAAAATCTTTAAAAATAAAATAAAAATAAAAAATAATATATGTGTGTGTGTGTATATATGAAAAGTAAAATGACTTTTTCAAAAAAAAATAAAATTAAGGAACTGAAACTCAGCGAGATTAGGTGACTTGACTAGCTGTAAATAATAGAACAAGCATTTGAATCAGGTTTTTCGACTAGGTTTTTTCCAAGATACCTACTTGCTTTGGGGGATAGAAGGGAGTGGGGGATGGAGAGGAAGTGTTTCTTAAATTTGGGGTAATTGTTTTTGTTCAGATCAAGAAATTAAAAAAGAAGGAAGAATGATAATCTTACCTCATTTCTTAAGGAAACTATAGGAAACTATATACTTAAACTATAGGAAATTTATTGTTGAAAGGAACACTGATTGAATGTAGTATTACTTTTAAAAGAGAAGCTTTCCCCTTCTTCAAGCAGCACATGTGGGCAATAGATGTCTGTTAGAATCATAATGCTTTATTCATTTTATTTGGTTCTTTCCATTGCATAGTTAACATTATATGTTGGAAGGATTTTATTTGAATTTTCTTTTCTCCACAGACAGGCCATGTCTCGTCCCACTGATGAGACGGCAGGAGACCTGCCTGTGAAAGATATAGGTCTAAACCTCTCTGGAATGGGAGGGTTACAAGGTATGGCCAGCTGTTATTTATTATCGTTATGAACTTTGATCAGTAACTTCTTTTCTTTTAATTTAAAGTATTTCTGATATCCTTACAAACGAAGCCATTTAAGTAACTATATAGCTCTTGATTGGACTAAACAGGAACATGGAGAGTTTAGAACAACATATGGTATTTTACTGCATGCATCAATTATCAACAGCTCATAGAAAATGTAAAATCCCCCTCTGTTCTGATAAAGAATTGTTATAAATCATCTTTTTAAAATTCCACACATGAGTAGAAACTACACAGAGAGTATCAAGCCTCTCCAAACCGAATTGCCTGGTTTAAATCACATTCACCATTAAAATTTTTCTTTATGTTTAAATTTTATAGGGGAGGAAATGCCGTATTTAAAACTTTTTGCCTTTCAAGTAGAGTATCTCAAAATGGTTTGTTTATCCAAGTGATACTGACTTTATTTTATCAAATTAATATACATTAAAGGTTTCCTTTATCCTTTAATCACTTAGTGGTTACCCTAGAGCTAAAATATCACTTTCAAATTGAGAATGAGAAACACTGCTTTGAGGAACAATTAGAGTGTAGAGCTGTGTTTTTGTTTGTGTATACAACGTGTCAGTTCTGCTGTCATGCTACTGCATTTGTCATTAAGACGGCTGTTTTATAAAATATATTCCACTAAGGTGTCTTACTACCCCCGTTAATTAGAACAATTCAACTGGCAACCTTGAACTACCACAGAAAGGTGGTCAATGCGTTGTTCATTGAAAATGATAAATTTGACTATACAGATTTTATTTTTGAAAGTAAAAAGTATGTATTAGCTTTGCTTTAGATCTTTGGTGGAGTACCAGGTATTCACATACAAATAAATGTTAATTGTGTAAAGCTGTTTATTCGAATTCACTACCTTAAGTTAAATTCTTGCCCTCAGTAACCCACCATAGGGGATTTAACCTTTGTCCATTTGTTGATTCTTTTGGATGATGATTGCAAATTAGTGACATGGAAAATACTAAATTTAAGCATATGTAAAAAATCATATACACAGGCTAAAAGGTATGAAAGTCCTTTAAAAATACTTAAGAAAGTTTATAAATGATTTGTGAAGGTTTGTTGTTTGTACTTGCAAATTTTACAGTTTATTTTCTAGAACCCAGAACCCATACATAGGTCTGAAAAATATCTTATGTTCACCAAATTATTGTTAAAACTCTTACCTCTGGGGGCACCTGGCTGGCTCAGTGGGTTAAAGCCTCTGCCTTGGTCTCAGAGTCCTGGGATCGAGCCCCACATCGGGCTCTCTGCTCAGCAGGGAGCCTGCTTCCTCCTCTCTCTCTGCCTGCCTCTCTGCCTACTTGTAATTTCTGTCAAATAAATAAATAAAATCTTAAAAAAAAAAATTAAAAAAAAAAACTCTTACCTCTGTAAAAAAAAAAAAAAGCTTTTAGATAATCTGACTTCTAATTTATTTTTTTCAACATTGAGCATATAAGTTGAAAGGTCTTATTGAATCAGACTTCCCTCTTACATTCTTAAAGAATGGTTATTTAAATACCATTTTGAATGGATATTGTTATTACTCAAATCCTTAATATTGCATGTAAACTTTTAATAGAAAAGATTATTATTCTCCTCTCTGATTGGTGATATAAACAATGCTA